TTCAAAACTTCCCAAGGGGGACCAGCAGTAATTGGGGAGTCCCTGTTCTCCGGAGCACTACCAGGAGTAACAAGGAATAACGGCCATAAGTTGACTGAGAGTAGGTTCAGGCTACACATCAGGAAGCACTACTTCACAGTCAGGGCGGCTAGGATCTGGAACCAACTTCCAAGGGAAGTGGTGCTGGCTTCTACCCTGGGGGTCTTCAAAAGGAGGCTAGATAGACACCTTGCTGGGGTCGTTTGACCCCAGCTTTCTTTCCTGCCCATGGCAGGGGGTCGGACTTGATGATCTGCTCAGGTCCCTTCCGACCCTACCAGCTATGAAACTATGAATAAGGCAGAGGATTGGAGGAAGAGAGGGGCTGGTCTCTGCATTAGGGTACTTGAAGACAGCCTGTCCCTGTCTGTCTTACAGGTGCTGTGGTACTGAATAACTCACTTCAACCAAACTTTTCATGGATAACCTCACTGTGGTCTCCCAACCTGAGATATCTGAAACTTGATTTGCAGAAGCAGTGAGCACTCCCAACTGCAACTGAAGACAATGGGAACTAAGCTTTGAGCATGCCATTTTAAAGGGGTTTCTTGAGCGTTTTATAGTGTTTCATTATAAATAAGGTCCTTTGTGCTTCTTGTTGGGCATACATATTTGTGCCTTAAATTTGTGCCTCCTTCCCCCATCTCTAAAGCAAGGGTAATAGCACAAACCTTCAGGATGTTGGGAAGATAAACTGGGTTTTTGGTTGTAGCTGTGTTGGTCTAAGGACATAGGCAGGCAAGATTCTTTGAGTAGAAATGATATTTTTTATTCAGTCTAATAAAAGATACCGCATCTACTCAAAGGACCTTGCCTGCCTTGTGAAGATAAATTAATTTTTTGGGCAACATTTTGTTGATCAGTGCCTTAGAGAAGTCCAAGAAAAAAACAGCCCCCACCCACAGCTTCACAGGCAGCCCAGTGCCTCCACTGCCCACCCTAACTTTCCTCCCAGATGGACATGCCACATGGGCAGTCCCTCTCCTGCACTGCACGCACAGCTCAGCTCCTTCCTTTGCTGAGCATGCAGCACAGGCACCCCAGAGCCCCCTGCCACTGTGCCACTCCAGGGTGGAGGAAGGAGGGGGAACCTGAAGACCCCAGCCACCTCTGTAGAAAGAGAAATGGGGGGAGCAGCAGATGGGTAGGATCCTGCAGGTGGCATACTTAGCCTTTGTGAGCCATCAGTTGGATAGCCCTGATCTATGCATTTCTTCTGTTTATACAGCTCACCATAAATGTACAAATCTGTGAAAGTTGCCATGGGTCCTGTCTGTGCATATGCTGACCATTCTTTAATTCTGTTGGGATTTTTAACAAAGAATTTAGAATGTCTTGTTCTAATATCCCATGCAGAAAGGGAAAACTATGTGCCAGCAGAAGGCTTGGCTAGAAGCGTGCTCTTTGAGGCGTATCTGAGCCCACATCGTAAACCAGAACTCTTGCTCTTAATGCTATGGTGGCTGCAGACACAGAATGGAGCACCGTGTCAAGTGCGGTCCATGAATTTTAAACAGGAAAACGAGATAGTTTCTGCCTATCTGTGTTTGATAATTGTCCCCGAGCAGTTCATGATTCTGTGCACTCTTTGTGAAAAGAGGTCAAGAACCTTAGTCTGGTACTACCTGTCAACGGAAAGTTTCAGTGCTCGGGGTGCTGCATGCATGCTGTAGCTGCTGAAAAATAATAGCTACTATGGCACAATGTGTTTGCTAGCACAGACACTGAAGCACTGCACTTGAACTCATTTTGCAAAGCAGTTGAAGATAACTTAAACATGAAATGCACTGTATAAATCTAAAATTCTTGTCTCTGCTCAGAGTGGCATTTGAATCATAGAGCGACTGTTTACCAACACAACCGAGCAAAACCGCAGCTGAGGGATGAAAATATTCCATTTTCAATGGAATGCTGTAATTGCATTCGTAATAATAAGAAAGGAGAGAATAAATCTTTATCACATTCAAATAAGTTTCCCTTTTTTTTTTTTCTTTTTACATGTATAGTCTGATGGTATTTCAGGATGAGCAGGGTCAGGATAATGGTTGATGGAAATCAGTTATACCGTGTTTAGCTTGGGTGATGGAAACTTTTCATTTAAAAATAAAAAGATTTAAAGTGTAATTTATTCCTGTGAATGTTATCATGAGGAGAAGAATTTTGCCTATAATGAGACTTATGTTATAGAAGAGCTGGTTTTAATCAACCTTGCAGAAATAGAAAGATAAGTCTTAAATAATGCTACCTTAGAATCATATTGTTGCCCGCTGAGTTATCTCCAGGTACAACCATAAAGCAATGCATTGACAAGTGGGAATGGGTTCAAATCATTGATTTGGTTTATCAAAAGAACACTGTGCTTTCCTTTGGGAGATGACAAAAAGCCCACTAACGTCCAGTCAGGAATGATACAAATAGAGTTAAAGTCAATCTTCCACCTAGAGAAAGGGAAGCTTTATACACAAGCGGCAGGCTGGCATGCTTGAGAGAGAAAGTTGTTGATGATTTTTATACAGCCCCTATTACTGTAGTGTCTGAGTACCTCACAGTCTTTTAACTTATTGAGTCTCACAGCACTCTAATGAGGTAGGAAGTACAGCTGTTGCCATTTTACAGTAGAAAAACCAAGGCACACAGAGATGAGGTTTTTGCCTACATGTGGAATTTATTGCAAAGTCAGCTAGGGTATGAATTTACAAGACAATAGCTACTGCACACTGACTCTTCCCAGGTTCACTCTCGTAACATCATGTCAGTGGCCACGTCTACACGAGATGAGGACTGTGCAGTAGCTCATTACTACTGTGTGGTAGCGTTGCGTGGCACAAAGTGTGATGTGGTGCTACTGCGCGGTAGTAACAAATTAGTGCGCAGTCACTGTTACCTAAAAGTTGGCGACACTACTGCACAGTAGCTCTGGTTACTGCACAGTCACTTGGTATTTGTGTATGCAAGTGAGAGGCAGTTTGCTCCAATTACAAAGTAGGAAAGTGAAGTAAGCTACTGCACACTGAGGCTGGCCACACGGGGTGTTAGTTCAGAGTAGCTAGTTTGCCTGTAAATTCATATCCTAGCTTACCACATACTAACTTCCCCATGCAGAAAAGCCCTAAGTGATTTGCTAAGGTTATATAGTCTGTGTGTGGTGGAGCAGGAAATAGCCTGGGACTTGGAAGCCCAGGCTCAAACACCCTAACATCCGTCCTCTCTGAATAAAACAAATCTATCTTGAATGTACATAGGTAGGTAGTTAGCTGTGTTAGCCTGAAGTCAGGCAGAAAGCAGAGTAGAGAGAGACTTTATAGATGAACTAAATCAGAATTGGATAAGTTTTTGCCAACCCAAGCATCTGATGAAGTGAGATGCAATAAGTGAACTGGGCAACATAAAGTAAAAATGTGTTGTCCACAGTTCCCAAGCTAAGAAGAAATGCAGCACACATGTAAGCTACCTATTTCAAAAGACCTAGCTAAGCTTTTTATGAAACAGCTTTATTCAGCATCTACCAGTGACATGTAATATTGAATCTTGTTGGTGTGGTGGCCTAGAGATGTGTCTTGCATACTGTCAACTGGGAGAAATGAGTTCAAATCTCTGATTTAAGTGTCCTAGAAACACTCCACAAGGACATTCAAGCACCACAGTGGGTGAGCTACAGCAGAGCCAAATGTGAAAATACACATGTGAATACATTCCTGTTTCTTTAAAAAAATATACAGACTTGGCAATCTGCATAACTGGCTTAAAAAATATTATTTGTGACTAATGCATCCAGCTGCTGGCAGGAGGATATCACTGAGTAAACTGTTCAACCTGTTCTATAAACCTTGTATGAGCATGGGTAAAATAGCTTTTTTTTTTAAAAACCGATTGTTTAACTTTGTTAGTGTTCTGAAAAGAACTGTAATTCTGTACTTGTGATTTTAATTTATAGGTACATTGAAACCCTGAAGGAACACAAACCGAAAATCATTTGGGATGAACAAATAGCTGAACATTATTTTGAATACAAGAAGTGAGTTGCAGTCTTTCCTTACCGTTCTGTGTATATTTGGGGGCATGGTTCAGTAAACACTGAATTGCTGGTTAACTAGAATGTGTGATCAAATTCAGTACACTGAGAGTCTCCCATTTGTCAACTGTGTCAACAGCTAATAGGAAAGAGGGTTTCAGGGAACCAAAATAAGCCAGGCAAGGGTGAATGAAATAATAAATGTAGCTAAAACAAACTTGTCTCAGACTGCACCAGGTTAGATCTTTAGAAGTATGTTAGAAGGGTAAGATATGTCTGCTCAAGATATCTGTTAAGTATCAGTTAGCTGAAAAGTCTGAGCCAAAGAGTAGCCTTTAAGTATGACCAGAAGCAAAACAAAATAAAGAATCTAATCAAAGTCTTAGAAAAATCAGAATTTGACAGCCCTAAGCCCTAAGATTAAGGTCAGGTAAACAGAAGACTTAGATAGAGCCGAAATAGAATGGGATCAGAGAAGAATGGTGAAAATGATGAAACAAAGCTATCTCCATGCAAACTAAGTAGAACAGAACTACTTCCATTAAAAAGAACATCAAGAGCTGTAAAAGACAATGAAGACTGTTGTGCTTTCTCATAATAAGAGAAGCAAACAGCTCTTAATTAAAGTAAAAGATTATCAGCAGAATTTTGATAACCCCCAGTTCATTAAGCTTGTAATAGAGCATCACTTGTGAGCATATCTCCACTTTTGGCAAAGGTGTGGTAAACACATTTTCAAATTTGTACTACTTTTACAAATTTTCATATAGTATTTTTAATATAGTCTAATACAAAGCATCTGTATTCAAATTAAATGGACAATGCGCTATCCTTGCATATAAAATGCTTATAAGAACATAAGAACTGCTGTTTACTGGGTGAGGCCATAGATCCATCTTGCTCAGGTTCCTTTCACACAGGGGCAAAGAGTGGATGCTGAAAGGGAGAGTGAACTGGGTATAACCAGGGTTTTTTCCATTGTTCCTCTCACTTGCAGCCTCCAGCATTAAAGGTATTGGAAGTTCTAATTCAGAGGCTGTATCCCCAACTCTCATGCTCAATAGTTACTGATGCCCTTTTTGTCCAAGAATTTGTCCAATTCTTGTCCCTTTTTGAGCCTGGCTAAACTGTCATTTTCCACAACATCTGGTGGCACTGAGTTTGATGCTTCAATTACATGCTGTGCAAAAAAGAACTTCCTTTTGTTAGTTTTAAACTTGCTACCTACTAGTTTCATTTTTGTGACGTCTAGTTCTTGGATTCTGAGAGACAGTAAATCATCAGTCCCTATTTACTTTTTCCTCACCATTTAGAATTTTGTAAACCTTTATTATGCCTTCCCTCAAGTGTCTCTTTTCCAAACCAAACAGGCCTCGCCTCTTTAATTTCAACCCATATGGAAGCCCTTTTATGCCACTAATCATCCTTGTTGCCCTTTTCTATACCTTCTCTAGTTCCATATTCTATCTGAGGTGCAGGGACCAGAACTGGGCACAGTATTCAAGGTGTGGATGCACCATGGATTTATAAAAGGGCTAATGATACTTTCAGTTTTGTTTACAATTCCCTTAATCCCTAACCTTTTGCTTGCCTTTTTGATGGTTGCTGAGCACTGAGCTGATGTCTAGTGAACAATGACTCCCAGATCTCTTTCCTGTGCAGAAGCAACTAATGTAGAGTGCATCATAGTGTAGGTATAGTTTGGTTTATTTTTACCTAGGTGCATCACTTTACACTTGTCTACCTTGAATTTCATCTGCCATTTAGTTGCCCACTTCGTTCAATAATGGCAGAACCTTCTGTAGTTCCTCACAGTCCACCTTGGTCTTTTACCACTTTGGATAATTTTGTCGTCTGCAAATTTGGCCACCTTGCTATTCGCCCCCTTTTCTACATCATTTATACGTTAAACAGCACTGGTCCCAACACAGATACTTGGGGGAACCCTGCTGTTTACTTCTTTCCATCCTGAAAACTGAACATTTATACTTACTCTTTGCTTTCTATCTTTAAGCCAGCTTCTAATCCACAAGAGCATGCTCCCTTTAATCCCATGGCTATCGAATTTAGTTAAGAGCCTCTCATTGGGGATCTTGTCAAAGGCTTTTTGGAAGTCCAAATATACTATTTCAGCTGGATCACCCCAATCCACCTGCTTACTGACACACACAAAGAACTCTCATAGGTTGGTGAAGCATGATTTCCCTTTGACAAAGCCATGTTGATTACTTCCCAGCAAGTCATGTTCATCTATGTGCTGAACAATTCTTTTTTTAATTATCATTATTTTTTCTACCAGTTTTTCAGGAAGAGAAGTTAGGCTCACCAGCATGTGGTTTCCTGCATCCCTTCTAGAGCCTTTTTTTTTAAATATAGGAGTCAAATTTGCAACCTTCCAGTCCTCTGGTACCAAGGCTGTTTTTAGTGATAGGCTGCATATTACACTTAGGAGTTCATCAGTTTTCCACCTGAGCTTCTTCAGAACCCCAGGGTGAATGTCATCAGGTCCTGGTGATTTGCTGGTGTTTAGTTTATCAGTTTCCTCTATGACCTCATCTATTGAAATCTCTATTTGGGTCAGCTCTACTGACTTGTCCCTAGAGAGGAGTGGATCAGGTGAGGCAATTTTCTTAACGTTTTCCACAGTGAAGACAGATGCAAAGAAAGCCCCTTCTTTTACACCCCAATCATCAAAAAGCTAAACTGATTCCCTAGCAGATCGCTGGCTTGTAATGTACTTAAAGAAATGTTTATTGTTGCCTTTAGTGTCTCTAGCAAGTTTCTCCTCAGTTATTTCTCAATTTGTCTTATTATAATTTTACATTTGATTTGCTGGAGTTTATGCTCTTTTTCATTTTCCTTGTCAGGATTTGACTTCCACTTTTCGAAAGAAGCTTTGTTTTTACCTAATTTCTTCTGCAACTCATTAAACCGTGACAACTTTCTTTTGGTTTGCTTTCCTTTTTTTTTTTTTTTTTTGATTTGCGGTATGCATTTGCTCTGTACCTCCAATATGGTGTTCTTAAGCAGTTCCCATGCTGCTTGCAAGGTCTTCACCTCCTTAGGGGCCCCTTTTAATGTCTATCTAACCAGCTTCCTCATTTTGGTGTTGTCTCCCTTTTTAAAGTGAAAGGCTACTGTGGTAGATTTTCCACTTTTCCCCCCTTTTATATGGATGTCAAACTCAGTTGCATTCTGGTTACTTTTGCAGAATGTCTCAGTAGCATCTACCCTTTGCACCAAATCCTGTCATTACTTAGGACTAGGTCAAGAATAGCTTTTCCTCTTGTAGGTTCCAGCATTAAATGCTCCAGAACACAGTCTTTTATAATGTAAAGAAATTTGGTCTCTGCATCCCTACCTGATATCAGATTGACCCAGTCTATTTGTGGATAGTTGAAATAATCCATTCTTACTGTGTTTTCTGCTGTCACAGCTTCTCTCAACTCTCTTAGTATTTCTCACTTAGCTGATGCTGGCCTGGTCTAGGGGTTGATGGTGTATTCCCAGGTGTACCTTTTTCTGCTGAAACCCGGAATTTCTATGGCATCTCTTATCAGTTGAAAAATCAACCCTATTTGATTTGATGCAATCCTTGATGCAGAATTCGAATGCAATCCTTCTGTGGGCAACTGGTTGTTTTTTTTAATTTCCCACTCCCACCAGCACCATCTCTCTCTCTCCTCTCCCCTGTAACTAAGGCAGTAACTAATGGGCTGAAATATTTTTTTGGAACTCTGAACCCAGCAGTTTCACTTTATTAATTCAATCCCCATTGTAGCTACAAATTCTGAATTTCTCTTGCATTGTTAGACATATTTGCTTCATACCTCTGTTACCAGAACTCAGTAATATTTACTGGCTTGTTCACTTCTTCTTTTAATTCTATAAGGCGGCCTGGGATTTGTCATCTCTCATTGTGAGTTTTCAGGCATCCTGTTTTGACTTTACTTTGCATATGTCAAATGATATCACGGTTCTTTTTGTCACTTGAAAGTCAATAAAATCATGATCCATGTCTACCTGCCTCCATTGTGAAGTCCAGTTGGAGACGCAGTCATAGACAGGCTACTTCTAATAGAATTTCCTTTTCATCTGAATATGAAGACTTGCTCTGAAAATGTAAATCATAGACTCATAGAAAATTAGGGTTGGAAAGGACCTCGAGAGATCATGTAGTTCAGTGTTTCTCAACCTTTTTTGTACCAGGACCCATTTGTAAACATTGATGGCCAGTCCCTATCCACTGCCCCCTGCCCTCAGCCCCTCAGTGTGTGGGGCAAGTGGTGGTGTGTGAGGGACATGGGGAGTCCCAAGCAGCCCCTTGCAGCCTGGACCTATGCCAGCCTGCAAGGGAAAAGCCACCGTTTCCTGCGTTTTTCTTCTTTAAAGAATAATTTGTTTTAAAAGTTTTTTGATCCATTTTAAAATGTGTTTGCAACCCTTTCATTCTTGTGACCCACTTTTGGATCATGACCCACAGATTGAGAGATGCTGATCTACATGGATCCTGGTTTTCTCTGATTTTAAAAAATCCCCATTTTTTGGTTTAAAAAAAAGTAACCCCAAATCCACATTTTTCCATGATGTAATATATAGATAGATATATAGCGATGTTTCATTTTAAATAAGGAAAAATGTGGATTTAAGGTTAGTTTTTTAAAACAGAAAATAGGAGATATTTTTAAATCGGAGAAAACCAGAATCCATGCTGATCTAGTCCAACCCCCTGCTCAAAGCAGGACCATCTCCAACTAGATCGTTCCAGTCAGGGCTTCATCAAGCCAGGCCTTAAAAACCTCCTAGGATGGAGATTCCACCAAAACTCTGGGTAACCTGTTCCAGTGCTTCACCACCCTCCTAGAAGGAAAGTTTTTTCCTGATATCCAACCTAAGCTTCCCTTGCTGTAACTTGAGACAATTGCTCCTTATTCTGTCTATTGCCACCACTAAAAACAGTCTAGCTCCATCCTCTTTGGAACCCCCCTTCAGGGAGGTGAAGGTTGCTATCAATCCCCTCTCAGTCTCCTCTTTTGCAGACTAAATAAGACCAGTTCCATAAGCCTCTCCTCATAAGTTATGTGTCCCAGCGTACAAACCATTTTTGTTACTCTCCGCTGGACTCTCTCCAATCTGGCCACATCCTTTCTATAGTGAGGGGCCCAAAATTGAACATAGTACTTCAGATGTGGTCTCACCAGTACAGAATAGAGGAGAATAGTTACTTCTCTCTGTCGGCTGGCAATGCTCCTACTAATGCAGCCCAATATGCCATTAGTCTTCTTGGCAACAAGGGCACACTGCTGACTCATATCCATGTTATTGTCCACTGTAACCCCCAAGTCCTTTTCTGCAGAGCTGCTACTTAACCAGTTGGACCAAAGCCTGTAGCAGTGCATGGGATTCTTCCATCCTAAGTGCAGGACTTTGCATTTGTCCTTGTTGAATCTCACGAGATTTCTTTTGGCCCAATCCTCCAATTTGTCTAGGACACTGAATCCTAGCCCTACCATGCAGTGTATGTACTACACCCTTCAGCTTGGTGTCATGCATGAACTTGCTGAGGGTGCAATCCATTCCGTCTTCCAGATTGTTAATGAATTTATTGAACAAAACCAGCCTCAGGACCAACCCCTGAGGTACTCCACTTGATACTGACGGCCAGCTAGACACTGAGCCTGACAATCCAGCCAGCTTTCTATCCACCTTACAACCCATTTATCCAACCCATATTTCCTCAGCTTGCTTGCAAGAATGCTGTGGGAAACAGTATAAAAATCCTGCTAAATTCAAGGTATACTACATCTACTGCTTTCCTTGCATCCACAGAGCCAGTTATCTCATCATAGAAGGCAATCAGGTTCAGACATGACTTGCCCTTGGTGAAACCATGTTGACTGTTCCTAATCAACTTCTTCTCCTCCAAGTGCTTATAAATTGATTTTATGAGGATGTGCTCCATGATTTTTCTGGGGACTGAGAAGAGATTGACTGGTCAAGAGTTCCCTTGATCCTCCTTCCCTTTCTTACAGATGAGTAATATATTTGTCCTTTTCTAATTGTCTGGGACCTCCCGCAATCACCATGAGTTTTCATAGATAATCACCAGTGGCTCTGCAATCACATCAGCCAACTCCCTCAGCACTTTCGGATGCACTGCATCCTGCCCCAGAGACTTGTACATGTCTAGCTTTTCTAAATAGTCCCTAACCAGTTCTTTCACCACTGAGAGTTGCTCACCTTCTCCCCAAACTGTGCTGCCAGGTGAAGTAGTCTGGAAGTTGACCTTGCCTGTGAAAACCGAGGTAAAAAAGGCATTGAATGTTTCAGCCTTTTCATCATCATCTGTCACTAGGTTGCCTCCCCCATACAGTAAGGGGCCCACAATTTCCCTAACCTTCCTATTTTTGCTAACATATTTATAGAAACCCTTCTTGTTACCCTTCACATCCCTTGCTAGCTGCAACTCCAATTGTGCTTTGGCCTTCCTGGCTTCATCCCTGCATGCCCGAGTGTAACAGGGAACACTAGCCATGTTACTAAGAGGCAGGGCTGCCCCTTTAAGACCCGAGTCTATAGGAACACCAAGCACCAGGAGGGTAAGGGTTAATAGCCCAACCGCCCAGGCCAGTCAACTGACAAGAAGAGGATAGACTTCTGGGCACATATAAACCCCAGGGCCGAGGCTGGCAAGAGGAGGTCTCTGGCAAGCAGCCAGGGGAAAAGAGCTCCTGCATAGCAGAACTACCCAGGAGTACTGTGGCTGCTGGCCAGACTGCTGCTATGGCTATTGAGGCTCCAGGAGACTACAAGGTACCCAGAGCTGGTAGGCACTCAATAGTCGAGGAGCATTTTGGGGTTTTTAAGGAGCCAGATTGTGGCTTGTAGGATTTGTGTTATGTTATAGCCCAGGGGCTCATATTTATGTTGTTGTTTTATCCGGTGAACTGAGCTGAGACTACTGGAGGAGGAGGCCTCATTGGGGCACACTACTGTGCAAAGCCCCAGTGCCAGGGGGTGTAGCAACAGGGGCACAGAGCTAGGGGGCACAGTGACAAGGGGTGATTAGACCCCAGCGCCAGGGGGAGCAGCAACAGGTGGTGATCAGACCCCAGTGCCAGGAGCTGCAGAGACAGGGGGTGGGCAGACCCCAGCACCAGGGGGTGGGCAGACCCCAATGCCAGGGGGTACAGAGCCAGGAGGCACAGAGACAGGGAGCAAACCCCAGTGCCAAGAGGCACAGCAACAGGGGGTGGGCAGACCGCAGCACTGGGGGCACGGCAACAGGGAGTAAACCAATCCAATGCCCTGGGGCTCAGGTCAACATTTATATACCATCTGCGAGGCATGGGCCATTGTGTAGGGGAGGTTTGGAGCAGTGGATAGCAACCCCTAGCATTGGGATAGTAAATGGGCAACCTTCTACCTGAGTAACATCATAATTATTGTTCCATCAAGGTGTGGCAGGCGAGATAGGCAGGTGGGTAGCCCAGAGACAGAGGGTCAGGCCTACATTAGACAGGCCCGGGGATGGCCCCTGTCACACCAAGCAATTTTCTTATACTTCTCCCAAGTTGTTTTGCCAAGCTTCCACTTCTTTTAAGCTTTCTTTTTGTGTTTAAGCTCACCAAAGTGTTCTCTCCTAAGCCAAGTATGTCATTTGCCACATTTGCTATTCTTCCTGCACAGCGGGATGGTTTGTTCCTGTGCCCTCAGTAAGGCTTCTTTAAAATACAATGGTATTTTACAAATCTGATGTCCTGTACTTGAATGGTGGGTTCCTTTGTGTTTCCACATAACCTGCTTCCTGAGTGACACCTGGCAAAGCAAATTCGATGAAGGAAAACTTTATCAATGCTGCATAGCCTAACTTTAAAACCTAATCTTGTGAATTCTTATCTGTGAACCTCCTGGAAGGGAGATTGATGGAATGAGTACATTGGGCCTGAAAATCTGTCTTCACCTGACTACCTTCTATATGCCTGATTGGCAGCATTGAGGATCAACCTGTCTGCGTGGGTTCAGTTGAGTTAAAGGAAAGGAATATCTAAGAGAATACTTTTTCCATCACTACTTCCCTTTTACAGAGGTCTAGCTATACTGAATGTTAATGGGATCTTGTTCAGAAAATACATTTCATTAGTTAAACTCCTTACCTGAAAATCTTTGTGTCTGCAGTTCCCAAGAAGAGATCCACTTAAATACAAAAACACCAAGAAAAGAGATGATAAATCATTAAATGGCATATGATAATTTGTGTAACAGCCAAAATCAAAGGTTGCTATTGTAAATCACTGTCAAAACTGTCTTCCTCGATTGTTCTTCAGATTATGTCCCTGTGTGCATTCCACTGTGGTCACACACGTTCCCAAGATCAAAGATGTTGAGCGCACTAGCTGCCTTGTGTACTAGTCCAAGGGTGTGCAGGCCAGTATGAAAGAAACCCTCATCCCAGTTCCACCGTCTCCCTGTCTGAGATGGAGCACAGTGTCCACAGCTTGCTTAGCCTGCTTCTACTCCTTTCAGGAAATATAGTCAAACTTTAGACTTAGATAATTGTTTTAGCGTATAGTTTAGTATCATTTTGTGTATTTTAGAGATTGAGGGAGACCCTTTAATTTAGTTCTTCCCATCCCTCCTTTTTATTCCCCTCCCCCACTTACCCCGTGTCCACCTTTCAGCTACACACACTCTTCAGTCAGGGACCAAAAGGCCAGGTCTCCTTTCCACCACCTCCACTCATGAAGCTGTGCCTGAGCTGGCTTCAGGGGATGCTTAGAGGGATCAGACAAAGCCAGAAGTTCCAAGCATGCAACTCCCTTGTGAGGGATCTGTGACAGCGAATCCTGCACTAATCTATATCGTCTCACTTTGGTGCACCAAGATAGAGAAGGTGCATGCACAGACTGAACAAACAAATAACTGGCAAAAATCTCTGGTCTCAGACATACAGGACCAAATTCCTTTCCAGTTATAAGTAAACTTAGGTGCCTAAATATAAGCTTATTCCACCATGCTTGAGTCCCTGAAACTGATAATACAAGGAATGGGGAAGTCCTCCTTATTGTCCTCACAGCTTTTTTTGTGACTCAGTGGTCATATGATAGTGTGTTATAGAAGTAGATGCATTGATGGATTTTTAGGAATTTGAAGAGGGTGGAATGGAATCACAATTAGATGCTTAAGTCCATTTAGATGCACAACAGGTAGAGTAGAATCTGGCCTATGGAGTGCATGCGTACCTACAGTTACCACAATGTACCTACTTACCACTAATGAGACAATAACCTTTCTTGGCTCTTAGCCTAGTAATCGTTGTGTGCCAACAGCACTGTGTTCCCTTATCTTAGGGCCAATAAAACTTCAGTAAAAAGTCAGTAGTTTTTTATATCACCTAGTGCAATTTTCTTCTTTTCTGGAAATAATGGAACTGTCTTGAAATTTAATTAAATCTACCAACTCCAGTATTATAAATGCAAATGATTTTCTTTTCTTTTCTTTTCTTTTCTTTTTTTTTTTTGCAGAAGTAAAGGGGGAAAGCACGCAGTCTTCTACCCAACATTAAAGGTATGTACCTATGCCCCCTCTTCAAATGAGAGGGGGATAAGAGAAGAAGAGAGGGTAGGTAGGCGATATCTGTTTTGAAGAGCTCTCTGCCAGTTTTTGCAATGGTGACAATATTAATATGTATCTATATAAAGGGGGAAAGTCTAGATAGCTAGATAGATAGATATAGATTGCAGGTGTATTGATCACCATGTTTAAATTTGTTCTTGCTAGAGCCAGGCCAGTGTTAGAACAATGGCAGAAGACATTTTGGCAAATCCCAAGGCAGATGCACCTTTGTAATACTGAACTGTGCAGAAAGTTGCCATTTTATATTCTCCTTTTGCAGAATGTTTTTAATATCATGCTGCTACAGTATCATCTGAGTTAGGTGCATAATTTCTTTAAATTATTTTGAATAATCATTCCCTCGTGAATAACAGATACTCTACTATGGTGATTTGTGCATTTCTAAATGCATAAGTATATTTTTCCTTCCAGTCTCAACAGGTTGGAACAATAAGGTTTAAAGAGATTTCTATGCTGAGGCAAAGATGAAAGATTGTTCACATAAAAGCAATTACGTTGACTAATACCACTCTAAATTATCGCTTATTCCCCTTTCACACTGCAGTTTATTCCACTGCTTCATTCTTTAAGTAGAGGGAGCTTGTCCACTTAAATCTGGTCTCATTCAAATACAGTAGAAAGCAGCCACAAATTCCAAAAGCCAGCAGATGTGCCCATGGTTTTTTTCTAGTCCCTGTTGGAAAATTTTTAAGCATTGCCCTATAATGTTAGCAATTCAAAGATTGCTGCTTTGCTCTTGTGCAGAAGACTCTAAAGGTAAAAATAAGCTGGCTAAAAAAAAAGAGCTTTTTTTATTTTAAAATCCGAGTAAAGTAAAAAACACAAAATTGTAAAATAATTTTTTCTTTCAATAATCTAAACTGGTGATCATAACATGAGGAAATGTATTTAATACTAATTTCACAGTATCTTTTTAAAATGTAATTTTCTGCATCAGACTTAAGACTTGATGCTGAGAGAGGGACAGAATGGGTTGGATATAGAAGACAACATCTTATAAAACACTGATCCCTTTGGCATTTGGCAAGTTGCATTCATTGTCTTCAGTAGTAAAGTCTTTCTTTACCCTTGTGAAGCCTTCTGGGAGAGTTGAAACTGTGTGTGACAGGATTTTCTGAGGGTGTATTATAGCACTGTGTAAATGATAACTCAGATTAAAACAATGCAGTATGTAGCTTTGTTTACTTCTGTGCTGTTCATTTAATCAACTGATTTCTTAGTGGCCAATGAATTATTCCAGGCTTTGCAGCATCTGCTTCTAAGAAGCAAATGTTTTTAAAAACTGATCATGCATTACTTCTGAAGCTACAAAAGAGGAGAATTGTTTGTACTCAGTAAAACCTAATTATCTTATGTATCCTTTTCTTAGTCCATCCAGCTGCGCTTAGAATTTGCAAAGGAATTGGGCACTGGAATATCCATCTGGGAGCTGGGACAAGGCCTGGATTATTTTTATGACCTACTTTAAAATAAACGAACTGGGAAAGACTTTATTTGCTGAGATTGCTTTATCAATTACTTGGGGGGATTTTTGGGAGAAGGTTTTTTAAAAAAATACTGGTTTTTGTAATTTATATTAAATCTGTATTAAATTTGCATTTTCCCAATAAATAAGATGTTCTGAAATACTGTATGGATTGCAGCACATGGTTTTATTCAAGAAAATACATATCTCTGAAAACATACCTTAAACTCCTGCTTTTACCGTCATTACAGTGTACCACCACTAGGAAAATACTAAGAGTTCACAAACGAATACCGATAGTTTGCACTTTCTAACCCAGGTTTAAGATGACGATTTCTCAAATAAGAACTAATAATTACAGAAGTAAGTAGGCAGACCCATCTGTCAGGTTTGTGCATGGTAAGTGAGATGCCTTGTATGCTTCTTGTAGCTTAACTCATTTGTAAACAAAAATTAGTCTTGCTATGGTATATAAAAGCAAAGTATGATATGTAAAAATAAGTAAAGCATAACACAGAGGGGGGCAGGGAGGGGAAGGGGGAGGAGAATGGACATGGTTCCTCCAGGCTGGCAGAAGTTCATACGCTGGGTTATCTCTTTGTTTTTTTATTTTTAGGAAACCCGTAAGTAGGTCAGGATCATGGCAATGTCAACTCCAGACTTTTTTTTACTTCGCTTGCACACCAGAGTAATGCTCTGGTTTCTGTTTTATCCTTAAGCTGCTTCATGGTGTGCTTTGTAATATTTAGTAGTGGTGCATTCTCTATTAGTTATTAGTTTGTGGGCATCATAATATTTAGCACCAATCTTTAAAAGTGTTCTTGAAAAGCAGATTCTGTAAAATGACTATGCATTCGTTAGCTTGATTTTTAAAACTGCTGAACACCTCTCACTTCCACTGATTTCACTTAGCATTGCAGATACAGGGCAGCTTTCAAGGTAAGGCTCTACATTGCTTATCCTACTTGTTAGTGCTTTGGGAAGCCTGAAAAAGGAGCATCTCACAACACTTCACTGTAGTACTTAACCATGTAACTTTTACCCCAAAAGCCAAGAAAATGGATCATAAATATATTCTTCTAAGATAGCATTCACCAGAGACAGAACCAGAGGAGATGCAATGGCATGGCTGTATACCCCCTTTTGGACTTTAACATAACTCAGGAAGCTATGAGGACTTTTTTAAGGTCCCCAAAAGCATGCAGGAATCCTCCCACACTTCCCCTCCACGCTGAGAGGGGAGCTCCATGCTTTCCCTGCTGGTGGGGGAAGCCTCAGGGCCATTCCTGCCTGCTCCCGCTGAGCTGTACAGGACTGGGCTCTGAAGCTTCCCCTGCCCTGGGACAACAGGGTAAACAGGAGTGGTGAGTGGTGGAAAGGGAGGGGTAGGCACGTGCCTCTGAGCATGGAAAGGAAAGGAAATCTTAGCTGCTTTGGGGGTCTTTAAAAATACCTGGAGGCTCCCACACTGTCTGCCCACATTGGTTGGTGGGGGTGGGGGAGGGAGGAGGTTGGGAGTGGGAGTGCAGCCATCCTTACAGCACAGGTTGCTGCTCCGACACTTCCCCCCCCTGCCAAATCCTGGATTCGCCTCTTGTGTTCACGTTTACTAGTTTCTTAAGTTCCATGTACTTGGCAGAGTACGTATTGACTAAAATGAAATTAAGGAGAGCATGCTGGGAATATTAAGTGAGCATCTGGATCACTAGGAGAGATCCAGGCAGTAACAGTATAGACTATGGACGTTTTTATTCCCACTTGTAGCTCTCACAAAGATATCTTTTCAACTTAGCCTGCACCCAACACTCCCAGTAATTAATCTCAGTGGGGAATTTATCTACCCCTGTTGGTTTCAAGCAAATAAATCCCATTATAATCCACCACTGATTAAAGAACTATTGATTTTTCACCTCTCTGATTTAGTTTTGACATCTCACAGCTCCACACTGTAAAGTATCTAATAGGGTTTACTAATCAGGTCCCTTTCTTCCATGCCATTAGGAGTGAGGTAATTTGCTATGTGAATCCTCCTGTTCAATTAACCTGAACTTTTAGGTTCAATGGAAAGTAATTTAAAGTAACCTTGGCAATGGTATTTAAAATAACCCAAGAATTACATTCTATTCTTTTTTCTCCCTACATTCAAATGACTGAACTAGTAGGATTGAAAGTATATTTGGTAAATGAAAAAAAATTAACAGGTTGTGATCTAAGATGCACACCCATTTTTATACTTGTTATTAGTATTTTCAAAATTGGAAGATGGTGAAGAAAAGAAAACTTCATCTTAGCTCACAGTGGGCAGAAAATGCATGGTTTTATATAGTCTTTTCTCCCACCTGTTTCATCATTACTATCTTTTATACTCCATGCCCTTTTCACTGTGAAGCAGCTTAAGTGCTGTAAATCACCTGGAAGACAGATGTATGTTTTGATGAACTGTCCTTACAGATGGAGCGAATACTTCTCTGCTAAAAAGATCAAACTAACCCTGCCGTTTCATAAAGAATAAATAACAGAGAGGTACACTTTGTAGTTAGAACCATCTCTAGTGTAGATGCTTCAAGCTAGGAATGTTGTTTTATCTCTTAGGTGCTATGAATATTTGTTACTTTCTAAATAATATGCCAAAAGCATGAACATTTCCTCAGTACTGAAGTATTCCATATCCTGCAGTTGAATGAATTATGTCCTTTGCGTGCCCTCTCCATGTTTCTACTTGCGGGTTGCGCTGACTGATGCAGCTTAGATAGTGAAATGTTCTCACAGGAATGCTTTTGGAGCATTTACACACATCACTACTCCCTCAAACATGTTGGGGGGATCTGCTGCTACTGCAGTTGTTTCCAGCCACAGAAGTAGACAAAAATTAAGTTCTCCATATCCCTTTTTCTCAAAGAAGATAGTGATTCATACTGTGTTTTAGTGCTTAGTGTCCTGTAAATGCAATGGTAATTTTTTTTTTAGTTTTTGTTAGTTTTAGCTGTTGGGAATTGGTACCATCTACAGTTATTATGTAGATTTGAAGTGAGAAAAATATTTTAATTGTGCATCATGTCTGGCAGTCCTTCTGGCACGTCTCTGGAGGGTACTGTCTTTTGGGATATCCTGTCTGCAATACTTTCATACTGGGATCACACAAGGAACATCAGGACACTGGTAAGCTCTCCTGGGCTGGCTTTTAGTGGCAAAGAAGATCTAAGCATTGTAAAGGATCAGAGCGCAAGATGACAAGATGAGAGGGGCTGTTGAATTCATCTCAGTCAGTGCCGAGAAAGGTGGCAAAAGACATAAAAGGCCTGGGCATCTTCCTTTGAAGGGAATGGATTGTATAGCAATAATACGGAGAAAACATAAATTAAAAAGGAGTACGTGTGATCAACTGCTAGTCATTTAGGTACTTTTTAGTCTGTTAAAGGAGGAGTCTTGGGGCCTTCATTTAGGTACCAGAACAATTTTATCCAACAGTGAGTGCATGTACTACTCAAGAGTAAACTCTACCGAGCACTTGTCTACACATGCAGGGATGCGGGAGAAGATTTGCTGCTCCTAGCAGCAGACCACTTCTGCTCCCTGTAGCCCTGCAATGGGCCCCTGCAGCAGCCAGGAGGAGCTCTAGGCTCCCCCTCAGTGTAAGCCCAGGGGGCAAGAGACAGTTGTATCTTGGCAGGGACTGGGACATTGCTCCCTGCCCCTGGAGGCTGCCTGCTGCTGGGGTGGGCTCTGCCACTGGAGCCTAGGCAGGAACAATGTACCCCTGCCCCAGCAGCAGGGAGCTCCCAGCTCCCACTCCATGATCATGGACCCGGTCTGGGAGATCCTTATCTCCCAGCCCCAGTGCCCTGACCATGGGACTTGGGCTGGGACATAAAGATCTCCCAGTGCCAGCCCCATTACTATGGAGCTAGGAGAAAAGGATTTCCCAGCCCAGGCCCCGCAACCATGGGACTTGGGCTGATATCCCAGCCCCATGATCACGGAGCAAGTGCTAGGAGCTCCCTGCTGCTGGGGCAGGGGGACATTGTCTCCACTGGGCTCTGGTGGAGGAGCCTGCCCTGGCAACAGGCAGCTCCCAACAGCAGAGAGCAATCTCCTGCCCCCAACTGACTGGGAGCACATTTCCTTATGGTCAGACATCTACACGTGCACTACTGCGCAGTATGTAATCTCAAGTAAATTTACTACTTGCATTTGCAGGTAGCAAATTTACTCATGATTAGAGCCAATTACTACACAGTAAGAGCCTGCACATGTAGATATGGACACTTACTGCTCAGTAATTAGCTCTACTGCACAGTAAAGCATCTTGTGTAGATGCACCCAGTGTCACCCTCTTATAATTTCTCTTAACAGACTTCAGTTTTCTCAGTAGCAGTCTACTTCTTTGACACAGCAGAGAAAAAATGTGAAATGCTGAATGAAAAGAAAGCAGTATTGCATTTCAACATCTAGTTCCTCAAACCACAGACCTCAAATTTGACGGAAAGATTGGCAGGTCAAAACCAGTCTCTATCAATACTGATCCTAATTTAGGCAAATGGATTCCAGAGAAGATAATAGAAAATGTCTACACAGTTCAGTGTGAGACCGTACTTCCATTCAGACCTCCGGCACTCATCCCTGTTCAGACCCTTCTCACGTGACTAAAAGATCAGTTACAAGTGAGAGATGCCAAGAAAAGGCATTCAAAGGTCAAGGGTATTACTGCAGATATTTCCTCATACCAAAGAAAAGTGAAGGGTTTGGTCCAATTCCAAATCAAAGAAATCTCACTATCTTGACAAGGAAATTCCCTTTCTGTATGCTGGTGCTTCTGTCCATCATTTTTTCCCTTTCTACCCCAAGCTGATTTGCAGTCTTTTGATTTTAAAGGGTGCTTTTTCATATTTTTACTGATCCATGTCACAGAAAGTATCTTCATTTTATAGTAGGCCAACAGCTCATCCAGCAAAAATGCTTTTCTTTTGGGCTGTCTGCTGCTCCCAGGAGTTTTAGAAAGTCCCTTTCCATCGTGAGCGCTCATTTAACAAGATGAGACATTTTTGTCCACTCTGAGTGCATTACCATTTTACACAAATTTAAGTCATGCAAGGTACTTTTCAGGAACACCCTAACTTGCCACAGGTAAAGCAAGGGGACAAGGGCACTGTCAATGTCCTG